TGACCAGGATGGTCTCGATCTCTTGACCTCGTGATCCACCCGCCTCGGCCTCCCAAAGTGCTGGGATTACAGGCTTGAGCCACCGCGCCCGGCCTAGAACAAAACTTTTAAACCATTTGGTCTGTTGGATTATTTTGGTGGAACTTCCTTTTTTGTAGAGTTTTTCAATGTATTTTTGGGGGCGGGAATTTCTCTTTTTTAAGAGTTTTCCAATGTATTTTTATGATTATTGATCTATTTATTTTCCTTATTTTTTAGTAGATCTAATAATTTATCTCATTATAAAGTTGTTTGATTTTCCATTCCTCCCAGACCAGGGCTTGGTCTCAGGTCTCACCTGGGCTGCAGTGGCTGCAGTCTGTAGAAGGCGGGACTCTTCCCACAGGCACCGGGCCACAATCCGGGCAATCTCCATTGGCTTCTCAAGATACCTGCTCTGTAAGTAGGAGAGAAAGGTAATGAAAATCAGCAGTAGACCATGGAGATGTGGACTGAACTTTGCTAACTTTAAACCAATTTATTCATCAAGGAAAGCATTTACTGCCGGAAACAACAGAACAAACGCTTCAGAGCCTGGGTGAAGGCTGTCTGTAGAGGGTGAAGGGGAGGTTGTTACTATTTCTGTAACTAGAAGGACCATTAGCCTGAGTCTTGCTGGAGTGCAGTAGTGTAATCACAGCTTATTGCAGCTTCAACTTCCCAAGCTCAAACAATTTTCTCACCTCAGCCTCCTGAGTAGCTGGGAATACAGGTGTGTGCCACCACAACCAATTAGTTTTTTAAAAAAAAAAATTTCTGTAAAGATGGTGTCTTGCTATGCTGCCCAGGCTGGTCTCAAACTCCCAGGCTCAAGCAATCCTCCCTCCTCAACCTTCTAAGGTGTTAGGATTATAGGCATGAGCCACCACGCCTGACCTTATTTGAGTCTTTTATTTTTTTGAAAGCTAAGCCTTGAAGCAGTGTCTTTATACAGTATGATATCCTGGTCTTAAGGAGAAGCAACTGACTTAGTCAAGAAGTATCCCATTACTGTCAAGCCTTTAACATGTAACAGTGAGAGTGATCTTCCTATCAGTGGACCAGGTTAACATGCTAACATGTATGATCGACATAAAAATCACTCTATTACTTCAATTATGACAAGCGAAGTGACTCTCAGGTAATGATGCTCACGGGTAAGTACACAGTGCTTGGAGAAAGGGCTAATTACTTCTCCTGTGACTGAAAATATAAGATAGATTCTTTTTTTCTTTTTTCTAAGCATCTAGATACTTCGTAGAGAACAAGATAGATTCTTGTTATTTAGTCAAATGAGAAAAGAAATGCTCCCATGGAAGAACGCTAACACCCAACTCTGTAGGTCCTATTTCTCCTTGTCCCCAGTTTCTCATCATACCTGAAGAAACTGCTTGATTCTTCGTAGATTGTGCTGATAGAGAACATTCGACTCTTGCAGGAAGCGGCTATACTGCTGGTCAATCTCACCCAGGAGATTATGAAACACCAAAGTGGCATGTGATTCTTTGCTGGCCGCATATGCCCTAGGAAAAGGAAGAATGATAAAGAATGGTTCTCAAGCCAATGCATACACACAAACAGAAATCACCATCAAGAAAGAGGAAAAAAAAAACAAAGCAAACCTGATGCCATAACCCATTCATCATTTTAGATTTCTCTTGCTCAGCAATAAAATACCATCAATTTAATAATTATTAACAATGATTCCAGGCCAGCCACAGTGGCTCATGCCTGTAATCCCAGCACTTTGGAAGGCCACAGTTGGCAGATCACCTGAGGTCAGGAGTTCCAGACCAGCCTGGCCAACATAGTGAAACCCTGTCTCTAANGGTGATATTTGAATAGCTATTCTACATGAAAAAAAAAAGTATAAATTAAAACCAAAGACCAGGTAGTATTTTCAAGGAGAGTATAGGCAAATACTAAAACAGTCTTCTCCTTATAGGCTGCTTAGCTACAAACCACATCTAATTAACAGCAGTCACAGGAGGTGACTAGCCAAAGTGTCTAGCAATCTCACTGCCAACCAGTTTTACTGTAACTGTTTTACTGGAAAAAGCCTCAAAGAGCCGACATTATTTCACAATTTCAATTTTGGTTTTTCAAATTACAAGTTAATCTAAAGAACTCCACCTAAGTTCCAGGTATATTACTTCATATCTACAGAATAATTCTAAGCCTGTGGGTTTCTAAAAAAAATTTATTATAAGTTCTAGAATTGGGCAACACTTAATTCAAATGCCATAGAATGAGTGTTCTCCCCTAAGTCTGCGATTTAATAACGACTTCATTGAGCCCCAGAACACACAAAGTTATCTGAGTAACACTTTGAGTGCTAAGTACCATTCTGGGTGCACAGGAGAGAAGTCAATTCATTATTCCATATAGGCTGGCTCAGGACATTACATGGGGCTCAATTCAAAGCATTTACTCAGGTTAAGTCGACAGATAGTAGATGCTAGTGTACAAAGTGTAATCCTGTTTTCTATAACTGAAGAGAAAAGAAAAAATGAAACAGCAAGTCATCAAAGACTTTTTGGACTTTTCAAAACAGGAATTTATCAGCCCTTTGGGGATAACCTACTAACAGTAAGTCATAAAACAAACAGCTATTGTCTAATGAAGAACTTATTACTATAAAGATGACTGAAAAAGTCTGTCCAAAGTCACAGTTCTCATTTATATACTTCAAGCTAATGAAACCAAAAGATATATTAAGAAATGCAGTCAAGACCACTTACAAAAGGGATCTACTATACAGCTTCATAAAACTTCTTTTTAAATTAAGACATAGTTCACATTAGGCCAGACACAGTGGCTCACACCTGTAATCCCAGCACTCTGGGAAGATGAGGCGGGCGGATCACAAGATCAGGAGTTCAAGGCCAGCTTGGCCAACATGGTGAAACCCCATCTCTACCAAAAATACAAAAAATTAGTCAGGCGTGGTGGCACACACCTGTAATCCCAGCTACTTGGGAGGCTAAAGCCGGAGAATCACTTGAACCCGGGAGGCAGAGGATGCAGTAAGCTGAGATCATGCCACTGCACTCCAGCTTGGGTGACACAGCAAGACTCTATCTCCAAAAAAAAAAAAAAAAGACTTATACTTCATATCCATGCACTAGCAGATTTACAACTGGGGTGAGGAAAGGTAGAAAGAGAGATGAAAATCAGGCTCATGCAATAATCCAAAACAGAAAGTGAGCTAAAGATAATTTCTGTTCCACTCTGCAATGTGTCATGAGATTTTCCGTTGGGTACTACCTATACTTTTATTATAATTACACATATTTTAAATAGAGCATACCTGTGTTTTATCTGCTGCCTATATTAGCCTCTTCTTTGCCATCAGGAAAGGCCCAGTGATCAAGGCAAACAAAGTATAAAGTAATACAGAAGATTTCTTGAACTAAATTCTGTAGAAACCAGTCCTTTTAAGAGGTATGTTTGAAAGATTACAAAATAAAATTCACTGTGGAAAATTTAGAAAAATATAAAAAAGAAAATAAGAGATTAAAAAAATCCATATCCCACTGTCCTACTATCCAGAACAAAAACTGACATGTTGCCAGGTATGGTGGCACATGCCTGATCCCAGCACTTTGGGAGGCTGAGGTGGGAGGATCGCTTGAGGCCAGGAAGTTGAGGCTACAGTGAGCTGTGATTGCACCATTGCACTCCAGCCTGGGTGAAAGAGCAAGATCCTGTCTCCAAAAAAAAAAAAAAAAAAAAAAAAAATTCAAAAATTAGCTGAGTATGGTGGCAGGCGCCTGTAATCCCAGCTACTCAGAAGGCTGAGGCAGGAGAATCGCTTGAACCCCGGAGGCAGAGGTTGCAGTGAGCTGAGATAGCGCCACTGCATTCCAGCCTTGGCTACAGAGCCAGATTCCATCTCAAAAACAAAACAAAAAACAATTATTCCAGATATTTTTAGCCACTCTATAGTCTGTATTTGTAAAATATTTGAGCAAAGTAGACAGATACGCTGTTTTGCTTTAAATTCTCAATAAACTTTGGTCAGATTTATTAGTACAAATAAATAATCCCAGGCTGGGATGGCCTATCTCCAACATCTGTGAATCACCTCCTGGCCCTTCACCAAATCAGAGTATGCATTCTGAAAAAACCAGGTCGTATTAACACTGGCCTGAATTAGACCAATTAGTAGGTGAGCCTGAACATATTAAAGTGAAGGAAGTAGTTGCTGGACTTCTGTGCCATTATCTCTTCTATGAATGGGATCTATTTCCCTTATCCTGTGATATAGTTTGGATCTACATCCCTGCCCAAATCTCACATTGCAATGTAATCCCCACTGTTGGAGGTGGGGACCCGTGGAAGGTGACTGGATCATGGGAGTGGGTTTCTCATGAATGGTTTAGCACCATCCCTGTTGGTACTGTCCTCCAGACAGTGAGTTCTTCTTGTGAGATCTGTTCATTTAAAAGCGTGTGGCACCTCTCCCCTTGCTCTGGCCATGTGACCTGTCTGTTTCCCCTCTGCCTTCTGCCATGATTGGAAGCTTCCTGAGGCCTCCTCAGCAGTGGATGGTGCTATGCTTCCTGTACAGTTGCAGAACTGTGAGCCAATTAAACCTCTTTTCTTATAAATTACCCAGTATCAGGTATTTCTTTATAGCAATTTGAGAACAGACAAATATACTCTATGTCTCTTTCCTTTAATTAAAGGGGAATTACAAGTATCAACCCAAAGTTCTAGCTATGATAGAATTCACATTCAGAGAAAAAATATGTCTACCACATCACTGGATTATCAGAATATATAGAGGATCTGCCCAAGTAAATGAGGTCCAAATCAACCTTCAAGACATCTACCACCATACAGGCTGTTTCAATGTGTCAAAAGACAGTTGTCCGCATGCCTTCTAATGTAAAATATGCTTTACAAGACCAAAGGGTGCCACTTTATCTCATAATCTCATTTTCCCCATCACCTGCACCCATACATTTTTCAATGAAACAGCAAAGCATGACGTTGAGAGTTCATGTTTCTTGACTCAAACCGAAACCTAACAATTTGCAGAGTCTTACCAATCTTGACTCTCTATCCATGGGGCCAGAAACTGCCGCAGTTCCATTGGGAAGCTGTCACTGTAGAGCTGATGGAGCTGCTCCAGGTACCGTGTGTCAAGCTGCTGCAGCTGATTCCATTGGGCCATCCTGCTAAAATCAGGGGTCCCAACTGTAAAGCAAAGTGTACATATGGTCACCACAAGTCCCAGCAGGGTAAACAATCTAGAAGTAGCCACCGCCCAACACAGCGGTCAGGTCTGTGATCAGGGATAAAGATGCTCTGGGGAGGACCCTGCTTGCTTCTTCCAGTTTATTTTATTTTTGAAAAAATAGAGATAGGGGTCTCACCATGTTGTCCTGGGCTCAAGTGATCCTCCTGCCTTGGCTTCCCAAAGTGCTGGGATTGCAGATGTGAGCCTCCACATCTGGCCACACATCTCTTTTACACTGGCATGACAAGCAGTTATTATGCCAGGTTCTAGAATCCATTATCTACCAGAGGTGTGTGAAATTAAAAAATTATTCAATTTCCAGATTTCTGTTCCCTTATTTATAAAATAGATAACAATTCCCACTCCTCAATGGGAAGTACTGAGATATTCCTACAGCACCCAGTTCAGTGCATGGCACACAACAGATGCCCAACAAATGTCGGTTCCATTCTTTCCACTCCACAGCCCTTTTAGTTATACACAGTAAACCTGTACTATGGCCAAAATGTAAAAAGTGTGTTTGGGGTGGGGGTCGGGGGACAGAGAGGTAATTCCAAGATTACAGATTTAGAAGTATAAATGGCCGCGGGCGGTGGCGCATGCCTGTAGTCCCAGCTACTCGGGAGGCTGAGGTGGGAGGATCACTTGAGCCCAGGAGTTCTGGGCTGTAGTACACTATGCTGATCGGGTGTCCGCACTAAGTTCGGCATCAATATGGTGACCTCCCAGGAGCGGGGAACCACCAGGTTGCCTAAGGAGGGGTGAACCGGCCCAGGTCAGAAACAGAGCAGGTCAAAACTCCTGTGCTGATCAGTAGTGGGATCACGCCTGTGAATAGCCACTGCACTCCAGCCTGGGCAACATAGCGAGACCCTGTCTCTTAAGAAAACAAAGTATAAATGAGGATTCAAGAAGTTCTGCCTGAGATTTTCCTACTCAACAAAAAGCAACTTTTTAAAAAATTTCTTAGTCTGGGATAACAGAGAAGGGAAGAAAAATGCCAAGCATAGATGTTGTCCCAGGTTCAGGAACACCCCAGTGAAATGCTCTGGTATGAGAAACCCAGCCAGCTAATCACCTGCAATCCTCTTTCTGAATAGTTTGGGTCATGGAACTATCAATAGAGGCCAAGTCGTTTTAAGAAGTTCTAAAAATAGGCCAGGCAGGGTGGCTCACATCTGTCACCCCAGCACTTTGGGAGGCCGAGGCGGGCAAATCACCTGAGGTCAGGAGTTAGAGAACAGCCTGATCAATATGGAGAAATCCCATCTCTACTAAAATACAAAATTAGCCAGGCGCAGCGGTGCATGCTTGTAATCCCAGCTACTCGAGAGACTGAGGCAGGAGAATCACTTGAATCCTGGAGGTAGAGGTGGCAGTGAGCTGAGATCGTGCCATTGCTCTCCAGCCTGGGCAACAAGAGTGAAACTCTATCTCAAAAAATATATATATTAAAAAGCAATATTACTTGCCATCTTCCCCGCTGAGATTCACCTGCCACAGGACAGATGCTGCCTGGACAGTGGTACAGGTACACTAAGCACTGGCTGGAGTAAAAGCAGTGGCTGACGCGCATACTATATACGCTGAAGCGTTTTAACGACGGTATGTATTTTGCCCTCAGTAAGAAATCAAAGGCCATTAGATCTCTCTTACGATATTTGCATTAGGGCCAAGTTTAAATCTGTGTCACATGGAGGTTGCAGTGAGCCAAGGTTGCGCCACTGCACTCCAGCCTGGGTGACAGAGTGGGGCTCTGTCTCAAAAAAAAAAAAAAATCTGCCTCATAGACTAAAAGCATCATGACCTGACTTATGCTATGCAAGAACTGATGTGCATACAAAGAAATCTGCATAATATGCCATTTATGTGGATTCTGTTGCAAACAGATGTACTGAAACTCTAAACCTACACAGTCCAGTATGGAGTCACTAGCCACATGTGGCTACTGAGCACTTGGAATGTGGCTGCTTCAAACTGAGATATGCTATCAATGTAAAATACACACTGAATTTTGAGGAGTTAGTGAAAAATAAAAGAATGTAAAATATCTCGTTCATGTTGAAATGAATATATTTTAGATATGTCGGGTTAAATAAAATCTATTATTAAAATTAACTTCACCCATTTCTTTTTACTTCTTTTAATGTGGCTACTAGAAAATTTAACATTGGCAGGGCACGGTGGCTCACACCTATAATCCCAGCACTTAGGGAAGCCAAGGCAGGTGGATCACCTGAGGGCTGGAGTTTGAGACCAGCCTGGCCAATGTGGCAAAACTCTGTCTCTACTAAAACTACAAAAATTAGCTGGGTGTAGTAGCACATGTCTGTAGTCCCAGCTATTTGGGAGGCTGAGGCAGGAAAAAAAAAAAACTTAACATTGCCTATGTGACTTGGATATTATTTTTATTGAAAACTGTTACTGTAGACAATGTAGCCAAAAAGCAGTGGTTCTAAAAGAAAGATTTTAAAAAAGAATTATCTGCTTTTTGTAATAAACTCCAGTGTTACAAAAAGCTATAAGACGTAGGCCGGGCGTGGTGGCTCATGCCTGTAATCCAAGCACTTTGGAGGCCAAGGCGGGCGGATCACCTGAGGTCGGGAGTTCAAGACCAGCCTGACCAACATGGTAAAACCCCGTCTTTAAAAAAAAAAAAAAAATAGACTTTTGTTTTTGAGACAAGGTCTCTCTTTGTCACCCAGGCTGGAGTACAGTGGCAAATATAGATCACTGTAACCTCCAACTCCTGGGCGCTAGCAATCCTCCTATCTCAGGGACTCGCGTAGCTGGGACTAGAGGCACACACCAGCATGCTTGGCTAATTTTTTGCAGTTTTTGTAGAAACAAGGTCTCAGTTTGTTGCTCAGACTGATCTTGAACTCCTGGCCTCAAGCAATCCTCTCACTTTAGCCTCCCAAAGTGCTGGGATTGCAGGCATGAGCCATCGTGGCCAGCCAGAAATAGACTAATTATCTGTGTTGGCTACAGAGGCAGAGGCATCACAGTCTACTCCCTGAAGGTCCAAGTTAAAACCGTAAAACAGCATCCCACACTACCTACTCCATCATAGATGAACACTGGGGTCATGCATGAATATTTGCATTTTCAAATTAACACATCCCAAAAAATTATCTGATTCATTTCCAGTATATAACTAAGGATTTTTTGGTTGTTGCTGTTCTTATTTTTAGCTGGGGAGAGAGGAGGACTAGTAAGTAGTACAATGATTGTATTGTTTCTCAAACCAGAAACCAGCTAGCAGTTTTTTCCATAAAATCAAAGCACCAAGAATGACTGATTTTATGTTTTACTTTTTAGTCTAATCACCATAGGTGATATTTGAATAGCTATTCTACATGAAAAAAAAAAAGTATAAATTAAAACCAAAGACCAGGTAGTATTTTCAAGGAGAGTATAGGCAAATACTAAAACAGTCTTCTCCTTATAGGCTGCTTAGCTACAAACCACATCTAATTAACAGCAGTCACAGGAGGTGACTAGCCAAAGTGTCTAGCAATCTCACTGCCAACCAGTTTTACTGTAACTGTTTTACTGGAAAAAGCCTCAAAGAGCCGACATTATTTCACAATTTCAATTTTGGTTTTTCAAATTACAAGTTAATCTAAAGAACTCCACCTAAGTTCCAGGTATATTACTTCATATCTACAGAATAATTCTAAGCCTGTGGGTTTCTAAAAAAAATTTATTATAAGTTCTAGAATTGGGCAACACTTAATTCAAATGCCATAGAATGAGTGTTCTCCCCTAAGTCTGCGATTTAATAACGACTTCATTGAGCCCCAGAACACACAAAGTTATCTGAGTAACACTTTGAGTGCTAAGTACCATTCTGGGTGCACAGGAGAGAAGTCAATTCATTATTCCATATAGGCTGGCTCAGGACATTACATGGGGCTCAATTCAAAGCATTTACTCAGGTTAAGTCGACAGATAGTAGATGCTAGTGTACAAAGTGTAATCCTGTTTTCTATAACTGAAGAGAAAAGAAAAAATGAAACAGCAAGTCATCAAAGACTTTTTGGACTTTTCAAAACAGGAATTTATCAGCCCTTTGGGGATAACCTACTAACAGTAAGTCATAAAACAAACAGCTATTGTCTAATGAAGAACTTATTACTATAAAGATGACTGAAAAAGTCTGTCCAAAGTCACAGTTCTCATTTATATACTTCAAGCTAATGAAACCAAAAGATATATTAAGAAATGCAGTCAAGACCACTTACAAAAGGGATCTACTATACAGCTTCATAAAACTTCTTTTTAAATTAAGACATAGTTCACATTAGGCCAGACACAGTGGCTCACACCTGTAATCCCAGCACTCTGGGAAGATGAGGCGGGCGGATCACAAGATCAGGAGTTCAAGGCCAGCTTGGCCAACATGGTGAAACCCCATCTCTAC